TGTGGGTGGAAACTTACAGATTAAGGGGCGGTAATATTATAATGAGATCCCTTTGCCACGTCACCAAGGGAGCAAAATCAGATGCGCTCGTTTTCTCAGACGCTTGCAGAAAAAGGCTTACCTAAACAAAGTAATTGGGTTAAACTTTTTCACGTTTCCTTGGTTGGTAGATGCACCAGGGACCTGATTATAGCACTTAAAACCTGGAAAAGTCAGATTTTCATGATATGTCACCTTTAACATGTTTTTTTGGATTTTAGGAATCGCTATCCTGCATAGTTGTAAAGACAATTATTTGGACAATTTTTACCAGCTCCAATTGTGGCCACAACTCATGAAAGAGAACTTTTAGCTATATGATTGGGTACATTTACGCTCTTATCTTAATTGTATTGATTGATTGTCAATGTTCCAGTTTTAGCAGTCTTTCTACGTTTATTGCCATGGTAAAGTAAAAAAAAGTCATGTTACAAGATTTGAGCAAATGCAGAGCTGATCTGTCTGATATTTTAATGACATGTCAGTAAATTACTTTTCATAGAATGAGACACCCATGGTTTTAAATTAATAAGTGTGGACAGCCTTTATTTGCTTGTGCAGTGTGTGTGTGTGTGTGTGTGTGTGTGTTTGTGTGTGTGTGTGTGTGTCCATACAGACTAAAAGTTCGGCACCAGGGATTTCTCCTCATTAACAATGGATCTGGACAGACCTTGTTCATTACACATGCTGTGTAAAGAGTAAGAGGTATCTGATGGCAGTTTTTTTTCTCCCTCCTGTCCGCTCTCCCTCGCTTTTTCCTTCTCTTTATCTCCTCAAGTGCAAATGCCTCAACTGAATCAATGCTGTTAGATCCCTCTTTAATTAAATCAACAAAGTGAGCAACAAGATGATATTTGCTTTCTAAAATGTAGCAGAATCTCAAAGACCCAGCTCTACAAAACTCTATAACAGAGCCTGAGCGCTGGCTTTGTGTCTGTGTGGCTGTGACAGATGCCATACTGGGTGGAAAACTAGCGTTGTTTTCACATTGCCAAGCCTGATGGCTCAATTCAAAGTCAGCTGCAGTAAGTGATTTATGGCTTGGTTTTAATCAGCCTGCTGAAAATGCAATTAGAAAGGGTTCCCACCGTGTGCAAATGAGCCGTCCCAAAGCCACTCGAGGACGCACGCTGTTAATTAGCCGGGTAGGGCACCTGTTAGCGCTCTTTGCTGGCCAGCGCAGAGAAGAAGAGAAGGGTCACGCGGCCACAGGGAATGAGGGAAGTGGTTACCCGAGGGTGCGAGAGTGTGGCAAGGGTGTAAGGCACTTGTTAGTGAACTAGGCTGGACCGAGGAAGAAGACGACAGCTCTGGAATAAAGTGGTCGATGCAGAGAGAAAGGCCACTGGTAGGATCGTTGCTTGAGATATCAGTGATAGAAGATGTGCAATGGCAGAAATAAATTGGAGCACTCGTGATCTTTAAGAGCAAGAGGGTGCTTGTTAGTGAGCCACAGGAGGCTTTGCTGTTATAACGGATCAAAACAGCACGTAAAGGCCGGGAGCGGTGATATGGTGAGATTAGCAGGTGTCAAATGTGCGAGAGAAAGTCTGGTGGAAATTGGAAGGTTGTCAATGGTAAGGTGAATAAGAGTTAGTTAGGAGGAGGAAGTGTGGATGAGATTTGCATGGTTTCAGGCTAAGCCAAGAAATGTGGGGTTACCAAGGTAAAGTAAGGCCATGTATCAATTGGTTTTACTTTAGGAGCTACAATTTAGTTTGGACATCAAGTAGAGATAAACTTTTTTTATCTAAATAAATAATAATAAAAAAAGTAAATTGTTTTGTATGCTACATTTTGAATTGCAGTATAATATACAGAATAAATGGATATTCATTTCGAAATTTGCTAAATTTTTATTAGTGTTACTAAATTGTCTGTGCTTGTTTTTTTTATTTTGTATTTTTAATTTATAGATTAATGGATAGTTTACCCAAAAGGACAGTTTGTCATCATTTACTCACTCTCATGTCATTCCAAACCAATAAGACTTTGGTTAATCTTCAAAACATAAATAAAGATATTTTTATTGAAACCTGAGAGATTTTTGTCATTCCATTGAAAGTCCAGGTAACTTCAAATATATAATTTAAAACAATGTAATTTGAATGTTAAATGACAGCAAAGGTAAAAGAGAAGGCAAATTGAACCAATGTACAATATATCAAATTTTTTGCTGATATGCAATATTGATCATTAATGGCTGATACATTTATAGTTGCATAATATTGTGCATCTCTAATATTAAGTGGCATCCAAGCAGTGCCTGTACCAGAACCACCTTATATCAAACATTGCAATTTATTATGATCTTTTTCTTATATTTATTAAACCAATAATTTACAATTCAAAACATGTTGTTGCCACAAGGCTATGTTTACACTTCTTGTATAGAATGCTATATGTTCATGCTGATCTGCCTGATTTAGCTAGCCACAACCAAGTGCCAGATTAAAATACCATAGAATTAGATTCGATGGGCTGCTTTTGAGCCAATGCCAAATGATATGGGATGCATTGTGTCCTCTTAGCCTGTTTTAATGAAGTTGATAAGCATATTTATTTTGTTATCCTAACTATATGCACAACCATATTACTTCATTATTTTTCCCTATTGTCTTTGCCTCTAACAAAACCGATCAATTGTGGACACAGTTTTGTGTGTGCTTACTTTGCTGATCATGTGTTAAACTCAACCTACATCCCTGTGTTATTCTTCTTTTTAACTCAATAAATACATCAAAGAGAGGAGAATACTCTAGTTCTCTGTTTGCCTTGCGGGTCCAGGCGTATTTGCCTTTGTAAGCTCTGTCTATTGAGACTGTCAACATATGTAACGTAGCATTTTTTTTTACACTGATAATCTCATGCTTTTAAACTATCATTCCCTCATGATGGGCAAGAAGATAATCAAGATAGAAAGGAAGAAATAGAAATACCAGAGCAAGCCACAGGTGGTTATGCTTGTCAGATCGATGCAAGATGAAAGGATTAGACCACTACCCATTTAGTTGTGTGTTATAGGACTTAGTTGCATGTTATAGGACTCAGCTCAGAGAAGAACTGCAGTGGGTTTGTGAGATGATAACAATCTAATTCAGTCATAAAAATGTAAAATAAAAATAAATTATTTTAAAACAATCAAAATAAAACAGAGAAATGAACTAAAATTTTAAGATACTATTCACAGAAAAACTTTTCCCTCAAAATCTAATTTGCATATTCATGAGTCAATGTAGTATACAGTATAAACTTCTTATAATGCTTTTTTGTATAATTTCTTTGTTTGACAGAATCATTCGCTTTCATTGTATGAAAAGCGCAATAACATTATTTTTCCATGTACTGCTCTTTATGCTTCATGGAAGAAAGTCATACAGATTCAAAATGGCATGAGGGAGAGACAATGACAATATAACTAGTTGAACTATTTCTTTTCTTTTGAAATTAAATTTTAATAGAAAATATATTTGCAATATGGGCATAACCTGACAAGCACAAACCCACACACAAATCCACGCTCAAATGCAACTCCACACAGTCGGATTCTAATGTGTGAATGTGAGAAGTGATGTCATTACAGTCTCATCACGTTTGATACAAATGAAAAAGCCATGAAGAATGCACAGAGAAAATAAATTAGCAGGAGTGGTACTTGAGATTCACAGGCGTGTTCAGCATTGTTTCCAACACAAAAGCATGAGTAAGGTATGCACTTCTGATAAGAAATAACTATGGCTAAGCCATCCTTAAAACTCACATTGGTGTAAGAAACTACTCGCTCATCTGTTTCAGGAGTGGAGAGACTGCACCTCTGAAAACAAGCAAACAAGGGGAAGCAGAGGAAAGCAAGAAAAATCCATCAGCTATTCCAACAGCAGGGGAGATTCATCTCTGTTGTGCAGTAAAGAAACACACTTGCGTACACAAACACACACTCACAAAGGAATAGCATATGGGAGCAGGCTTACAGAGTGTGACTGAGCAGATGTGGATTTGATGGCGTTCGGTTGCTCAGTCTGGTGAAACCCAGAGGCTGTGTGGTGGCATTGTGTCGGTGTCAGCAAGATGAGCTGCTGCAATATGCCCCAAGTCAAATGCGAACTCAAACGTGAACTATTGAGTGAAAATACGTTCACGTCTTCAGGCCCCTGCTCAATTTGATTACAACAATGTGCATACCTAGCTCTTATTAGTGCTAATTTTGAACATTAAGCATTTTGTTAGAGTATCTATCTATCTGTCCATCCATCCATCCATCCATCCATCCATCTATCTATCATCAGTGGTGTGAATTGCTGTTCTGAAATGAGGTGGCAAAGTCCTCCTTACAGTTTCTTTTTTAATAAATCAAAGTAAATTAATGCACCAGTTCATGACATGACATTACATTTAAAATACATTGCAAGTTAGTGCTTTACATGCATTTTTTTCAGTTAATTCAAAATAATTACTTAAGGCAGTAGTTACTTAAGGGTGTAATGGTACACAAACATGACGGTTCGGTTTTGACGTCACAGTTCAGAATGGTTTTGGTACAGCAGGAGGAAAGAAATATATATATTTTTTAAATTAAACAATGTTTTACTGAACAAATTGCTTTTTCTTTAAATAAGTTCAATTACAATTAAAATTTCTTAGGGATAAAAATCTACCTCAGCTTCTGCTCTAAACTATAGGGAGCCCTTTTACATTGCTATAAGGTTACAATTAACAAAAGAGCCCAGACTTAAATTAAATTACTTAAATTGGATTACTATTTATTTTTAACTATAATCAAAATTAAAAATTTGTATGCAAACATGTAATTTGCACATAATGCAGTTTTTAAATTAACTTGTAAATTACACAATTTCTATTTGTTGTTGAAATACAATCATTTACACGGGGGCTGTCATAACTTGTTTCATAAAAGATTAATTTAAACATACATTAAATAATTAAGACATCAGGTACAGTAAAATATTATGAAGTATATAATCTAATATTTCTTAAAATGCTTTTCTATAGACTTCATTTCTCTAGCAAACAACGAGCTGTGGACACTGATGACTTGCCTGAGGTAAATGAAATGCTACATGACATTTTGTTTACAAGCTGTTTTATTGACGTCTTTCCGTAATTGAAACACTGATCGAGTAATTACATGAAATGTTCATTCATGTTAATTTCACGTTAAAACTAGTAGTAAAGCTGAAGGGATGATTGCGCTCACTCGCACTCCATGCTGCAGTTTGAAATGAGGTGTTTATAGCGATCAGTCATGCCTCATCAAAGAGCGCGAAAACGGCATGTATTGTCTGAATTTCCTGAAAAACTGGAATGATTTGTTCGGTACACAAAACACATGCGTACCAAACCAAAAGACCCATACCGAACATTTTCGGTACGAATATGTGTACTGTTACCGTTACACCCCTATAAGGCAGTTGTAATTTAAACTAGGATATATATTTTTGTTTGTGAACTAATGTTCAGCTGTTCTTTTTAACAGTCAACTTATTTTCAGATTATCAGTCATCAGAGGTCGGTAAAGTTAATTTCAAGCTGATTGCTCACTAAAAAACAAATTGTATGCAATCACAGCAGGATTCTCACGGTCATTCTCAACAACCCCCCACCCAACCCACCAAACAAGTAATATCTAAATATATAAAAGGTAAGAAGTTTAAATGTAATTTGAATTAATATATTAATATATATATATAAATGAAGAGTTTGGTTCCAAAATGTGATAAATGCCTTTTTTTTTTTTTTTATTGAGTTTCCGCCAAAATCAGTACTGTATCTGGTCGTTATTGAAAAGTCAATTTTTAATTTTACGCAAAATGCGATATCCGCCGAGTTATTCTGTCATGTTTTCTCCTTTTTTTTCAAAACCGCAACGAACACCAGTCTCCCTTCTTTGCAGAATGCGATATATCCGCTCAACCAATCACAGCGCACCATTACACGCACTGTAAACAGTAACAACCAATCACAGTGCACAATTCCATGCACTCTAGACAGTAATGGCGGCGCTTTGAATATACCCGCATCCTAGTTTTCCTCATCTACTTTGTACTTTGTGATCAACAAACAAACTTAGGGCTGCACGATAAATCGCATGTGATTGTCATGCGCATCTCGTCAGTAAAGCCGGTTCTGTGATTAATAGTAAATCTCCATCACGTGCTTTCAGATGGAGCGGCATTTAATACACAGAGCCGTAGATCACTGCAATATTGCGTTCATAATCGCAGATGAGTCGCATTCGATTATGAACGTGATATTGCGTAGCTTGTCAGTGTGTTTTTATTTATGCCATTAATGTTTTTGTTAATACAGCGTATATAGCACTACTCAACTAAATGAATGTAACATGGCAAGTTGAATGTAAGTGAAATGTCATTTTGAAATTTCTGTGGTTTAATGTGATATTGTTGTTCATGTATGTGTGTTCAAGTCAGCTCATTAGTGCACTATCATTAGTACCTCCTGAATATTTAATATCAGACCCACTTTAACTATAGGCAGAAGAAACTAACGAAGTGGGTTCTCTTACATTAACCCCAGTTAGGGAAACCCTGTGTATTGTAATGTTTAATGCACTTCATGATTTCGATATCAAATAATGTAATATTTTCTTTCACTTTCCCTTTTTATATCAATATGGTAAATTTTTTTATTTTTTTATCTGTGTTTTTGTTCTGTCACTGTCATTCTGTTGCACTGTGGAAGCTTCTGTCACGAAAACAAATTCCTCGTATGTGTAAACATACCTGGCAATAAAGCTCATTCTGATTCTGATTAATAGTAAGTTTACAACAAGTTCGGTAAAAAAAAGTAATCTAAAAAGTAGTTAGAATTCATTACCTAATATGAATAACCACTAGTCAGTTGTACTTGTTTTCCTTTTGGAAACATGGTCGTGTCAGTATTGTTCTAGTCCGTGATGGTTTATATGAAAGTATTCAGGATGGAGTTGGTACAGAATGCTTGTGAAGTGAGAGCTGTTTTCCAGTCCCCATTAGTAAACACTGCTCTCTCTCCCTATGATCCACTTTGCCTCTGATTAAAGCATTCACTCAAAATCTCAGGGCTCTGGCCTCCAACTGAGATTTCTGTTCATTAATTAAAGCCTTAATGTAATTAATTACCACCCAAATGAGAATTCAGGGCTTGTTTGTTAAAACCGAAATGTGGAAAGATTTCTGGTTGTTTAAAAGTACTTCAGTTGGAAGCCAATGAAGAGGCTTTTTAGAGCCAGGTTTTCTTAAGAGTACCTACAACAAAACAGCATTCCATGCATGCTTAGTCCGATTGGAATACTTTTCAATTGTATATTCATACTATTATGTAACTATTGTTTTTTTATTTGTTGGCAATCTGTAGATTATCCATCTTAAAAGTTCTTCCAGACTTTGCGTGGTGGTATTAGACAGAAATGTTTGTGAGAGGAGGTTGTTGAGGTTCCTTTCATTATTGCCAGCATGAAAACAAATGTAATGCTCCTCTGATTTCATCAGAGTTCTTTCCATTCGGTCTGTGTGATAGTGTCACCGGCTGCCATCGCTGCTCTATTGGGTCGTTATTCGGCACTACGTGTGCAAATAGTTTTGTGCTGCTGCGGAGCGTGAAACAGCAAAGACAGGTGGGATTGCATCTGCACATCAGAGATGTTCACACCTGTCAATAAACATCTCACTGGCTGATAAGTGCAAAGGCATCCATATTAATTTATCATGACATTTATTCTCAATGCGATGACAGATATACAATATCAATATTAGGACACACAAATGCTAGTGCAGGGGTCGAGAACCTTTTGGGCATGAAGTGCCATTTTTTTATTTTTCTGGTTAACCACTGTGTCAATAAGCACTTTAAATGCATGCAGTACATAATCACATAATCATTTTTAAATGTTCAGATAAAAATCTGTAATTATTATCATGCAAATAGTGCAGAATCTTAAATATTTCTGAAGCAATTTTTCATAAGTTGTTTTTTTATATTTAATTTTTTGACAGTTTGTTTTAGTACACACAGATAGAGAACGTAAATTAAAATATCTACAAGACACTCGGGTTCACAGAGATAAGTTGTTTTTGAAAGTTTTCAAAATCCTAAAGGTTTCTTTATTTTAAAGGGGTCATATGATGCGATTTCAAGTTTTCCTTTCTCTTTGGAGTGTTACAAGCTGTTTGTGAACAGATAAGATCCCTAAAGTTGCAAAGACTAAAGTCTCAAACCCAAAGAGATATTCTTTATAAAAGTTAAGATTCGTCCACGCCCTCCTAAAACGCCTCGTTTAAACACGCCCCCACATGTCTACGTCACTGTGTGGGAAGATTTGCATAACACCACCCAAATGTTCACACAAAGAAAGAAGGCATAACTTTTTGATTTTCGCTGTAGTATTGTTACCGCCGCCGCCATGTCGTGGAGATGCTGCGTTTCATTGTGAAAGCGAAACTACTTTGTTTGGCCTTCCAAAAGAGGACACGACTAATAATCAGTGGTTAAGTTGTATTTACAACACTGTTCCAGAACAGTTCAAACCAAATATTCAGATGTGTGCAGCGCATTTTACGGAGGACAAGGACTGTTTCCTGGGAGAGTAGCCTACAATGCCAGTGTTCTGACAAATAATGCTGACTCAGCCTGTAAGTACGTTTTCATATTTAAAGTATTTGCCACTGACTATTCAAACGTGTAGAGCAGTGCTAGTTGTTTGTCGTTTCTCCGATCACAAATGCAAACATGGTTTTATGTTTACGCGGCGTGATGCAACGCAATGCGTAAAAAGACAGTATAAGTCATTATAATCAGTAATTATGTCCCCACTGGATGCTTCAAATGCCTCGTTTGTAATGGGTTTTATTGGTTGTCTCGTCGCACCGGGACGCGGCATCACAATATGGTAAGGGGCCTAACATTTCCGTCACACGCTTGAGTTGTGATGAGACCAATTGTGCATTAAAACTTAAACGTTCAATGTAATCACATTCTATATTAATGCACTGCTTTAATTGATGCACGTGTACACACACACACACACACCACTTGCACACAGATAACAGATAGCGTGCCGCACATATGAAAACGTTGTCAACACTGCCCCGTGACTTTTATTAATTCAGCTTTGATACTGAATCGCTACATTATATTCCTCAGCAACAATGGAGTAAAATAGCTGTTTTTAAGTAACTAAGCTTATGTTTGCAGAGAGAGACGCAGGTAATTATCTCTCAAAATGTAGTTTGCATCACTGGATATAGCTGTCAGACATTTAACATTTCTATTGTAAAACAGTTGACTAATAGTAAATGATTTGGATTGACGAGCGCTGTTAGCCACGCGCATTTAATTCTCAAACAACTGACTGTAATGAGTCAGTTCTTTTAAGTGAATCAAATACATAAAGATGCAATCTGTTCTGCAAATTTTCGAATTTGCTCAAATTGTTATTTTTCAGCAAAATTCAGTAATTTCAATAGTAATCTGTATGATTGGGAATTCCAAAAGATTTCCCCTATGCAGATTTCACAACTGACTGTGAGAATGAAACCAGTGTACTTACTGACTTGTTCATATTATAACGTAGTTAAAGATCTTATCAATATTAATGATTGAAATATGGGTAACACTTTAGTATATTCTCACTATTAAAGTTGCTTATTAGCATGCCTATTATTAACATTTTGGCTGTTTATTAGTACTTATAAAGCACATATTCTGCATATTCTATATCCCTAATCTTACCCAATACCTAAACTTAACAGCTACCTTACTAACTATCTATAAGCAGCTAATTAGGAGTTTAAGGCAAAGGTCTTAGTTAATGGTTTGTTAATAGCAAAAATTGGACCTTCAAATAAAGTGTGAATGAAATATGTTACCAGATTTTTGGGGGGTTTAGCATTGTTTTGTATACGGTATAGTTGAGGCTAATTACTGGATGGCATTTATGACGCTTCTTAAAAAAAAATACTTGTGAAAAGTCATTAAAAGTCTGTGTAAACTCCCCTTTTGCAATTTTATTTAAAGCATCTCATAATTTGCTGGTGAATTGCAATTGTTCCTGTTTTATTTCCAATAACTAAACATTGTTAATGGAACCTTTAAGAGATAAGAGGAATCTGAACTTCATGATTACCATGTCTGTTCATTTTTGATAACAATAATGACTTTTGAAAACAAAATGTGCAAGAGTATTGACCACAAGAGTGATTATTATTAGCTCCTGATCTACTTACTTCATGCTATGCTAGAGCTTTTTATCTCTTTGTGGTTTATGAATATCTACATCAGTGTGGATTGATGCTTCTTAGATTGAATCTCCTGGGTCTGTTTCTTCCTCACTGGTAATTATTTTCTAATCTAGGCTCTATATATGCTTCTACTTTGATGACATAATCAATCTATGCATCAAAGGCGAACAACACAAGACTCTCTTTAAGACCTGCAGATCAGAGATGTAGTGTGAATGTTTACTGGAGGCGATAACACTGTGTGGAAAACGTGGCCTGTGAGCTCCTGATCACATGGATCTACCGCAGAAGAGCGGGTGATCATTGCACACAAACTGGATTTGTTATGACTGAGACTTCACCTGCCTGTCGACACATTACGCTCTGTATTTATTTGTTTATTTATTTATCATCCCATGGTTTTTAAGGTTAAGGTTGCACAATCTCTGGAAGTGGGTTAAATGTAGACGGCTTCCTGTCAATCAAAAGCACGTTTTTGTGTGAGTCACAGAGGTATTTTTATTTTATGCATAATGCCAGGTCGAACTGTGGCAGGAAAATGGTAAACTGAGATTATTGATGGTTGGACTGCTTGACAGTTTGCCCAGGTTAAAGCAAACATCTTGCAAACTGGTAATCTAAGCCTCTTGGGGGTAAAATGGTAAAGGCACAAGACAAGCAGTGCCTAAAAGTCCATTAACCTGTTCATTTGTACTTTATGGTAATTTAAATAAAAGCTTGATATCGTTTTGAAATCTATATCTTGTTTTAGTTACATTCCTGATAAATGAATAGTTCACCCAAAATGACAATTCTGCTATTATTTACTCATCCTAATGTTATTCCAAAGCTGTATAACATTCATTCTTCTGTGCAACACACAAAAAAAGAAATGAATAACCTGGCTATTTTTAATATCATGAAAGTTAATGGGATCTGGACTGTTTATCTCCAAAAGGCCAAAAAAAAAGCACTATAAAGATTTCACAAAAGTAATCCATGAGATTTTTCCATATGGCTTTATTTCAGGTTTTATGAAGCTGTACGGTAGTTTTGAACTCAAATTAAAATGAATTTCACTTCGAATCTTATAGTCATATTTTAACTATAGGGCTGTGCATGAATAGTCAAATATTCGTGTATTCTCTCTGCAATAATTATCAGAAAAATAAAATATTGCTTGAATTTTGCTAAATTTTGTTTTTCATCAGTGAAATAGTGATAAAATCGAATGTAAAAAAAACAAAATCACACTCAAGTGTATTTTTCATTAATTAACAAATATTTGAGTATCCGTTTTGATTAATATATATTACAATTAGGGTTGTGCAATATGGACAAAAAAAACCTATCGCGATTTCTTTGATCAATTTTGCGATTTCGATTTTGATCACAATTTTGACACACACAGACATGCTTTACAGTCATAAATGCATTCAGTGTGAATTTGAACTAATTTTTACCGTGAATAATGCGTCACTTTAATTCAGCGCGTGCAGCACAGCAGAAATAGACTCCATGCTGAAACGATCGCAGCATAACTGCTGCAGATGCACCGCTCCTGGAGCGCACTGCCGGTCATGAGAAATCGAGTCCCCCCTCGAAATCGGGTCCGCTTAGGACCAAGGCGGTAGCTGTTTTAAATGCCTGATCAAAAGTCAACACTTATGTTACTATTTCGTTGTGAATATATGTATGGTAAGTGCAAATGCGTGGTGTATAAGCTAACCTAGCAGGCTAATCGGGTAGCTGTATGCTATGCTAGTAAGCGAGTAACCAAAAAAAACCCCATAAAAACGAGAAATGTTTGATTTCACAACCTATAGCTTCGGTTATATACTAGCGTATGAAACATGTAATTTAAAAGACATTAATGGTCATTATAACGAAGTTCAAATGACATAAATCAAAGCGCGATTTTGCAGGAATTGTAATCAGGCGCTAAAAATAATACCCATTAAATGTTTGTTGAACCAATGGGATCACTCCGGGTCCTAAGCGGACCCGATTTCATGGGGACACTCGATTTCTCATGACACCAGACCGCAATCGCGTGCAGTGTGAACGCTCTGATCCGTTAACATGGGCGCGGAAAAAATACGCACCACAGACGGAGTGTGTGAACCTGGCGTTACGTTTGTAGGCCCGTCCGGTCTGTTCTGTTCTCGTGCTCCATTTAGGTGTGCTGCATTCTGATTGGTTCGGATAGCATACTGCGGGGAGGTCGGGGGCGCGAAAATTTGTGCTATAATGCGATTTAGAAATCGCGCAAGCTCAAATCGCGATTTTATGACGATTTCGATTAATCGCACAGCCCTAATTCTGATTTCACAACCTATAGCTTCGGATACTAGTGTATGAAACATGTAATTTAAAAGACATCAATGGTCATTATAACGAAGTTCAAATGACATAAATCAAAGCGCGATTTTGCAGGAATTGTAATCAGGCGCTAAAAATAATACCCATTAAATGTTTGTTGAACCAATGGGATCACTCCGGGTCCTAAGCGGACCCGATTTCATGGGGACACTCGATTTCTCATGACACCAGACCGCAATCGCGTGCAGTGTGAACGCTCTGATCCGTTAACATGGGCGCGGAAAAAATACGCACCACAGACGGAGTGTGTGAACCTGGCGTTACGTTTGTAGGCCCGTCCGGTCTGTTCTGTTCTCGTGCTCCATTTAGGTGTGCTGCATTCTGATTGGTTCGGATAGCATACTGCGGGAGGTCGGGGGCGCGGAAAATCATGCTATAAAGCGATTTAGAAATCGCGCAAACTCAAATCGCGATTTTATGATGATTTCGATTAATCGCACAGCCCTAATTACAATTACAATATTATTAATAATGTCATAATTTTATTGCATGCATGATGATTTGTGCCTTTAGTTCTGATCTCCAGAAGAGAGCAGATAGCCATGCACACTATTTCCTCCATTATTTGCACACTTTCAGATGGAAAGAATTCCTCTGACGCTAGAATATTAAATGAAGATTATATTAAACACCGTGCATATTTTAGCAAAAAACAACTCGGCTCATTCTTGTTCCGGTGAATCCAGGTGTAAACAGCCTCGTCTCGGGTGAGTTCTGCATTTGTAATGTATTGGATTAACTGGCTGGTCTTCAGAATGACCATGGGATACCGAGATAAGAGCCCGTCGGCTGCGGGAGGACATGACTGCACTCCGGTATCTGGGTTATTAGGCATTCTTCCGATTTGTAATGAATTATACACACTGCGCCCAGCCAGGCTTTAGCTCCCAGGTGTGTGTATTAATGCTAAAGGCCTACAAATGAGAGCACATTTTCAAACACAGCTATTCTCCAAGTGCTCATCGTCATGTTCTCGCTGTAGGGGAGCTTCTCAAGCTTTCACTGCAGGGGACACGGCTATAAATGAGGTGCTTCATCTATCGGGTTTGTGTGCACAATCTCATCTCTTTCCGCTAGTTGATTTTCTCTGTTAAAGTTCACTACACATAGTGGGTCATTATCAGAAACCGATTTGGTTACAGTACAGTCATATTTTTTTTTTGCCTGTTGCTTGTACACAGAAAATTTATCTCTCCCTCAATTTTTTTTTTAACACTCTCTCAGTTTTTCTCCCTCACATGAATACTGGAGCTCAACTGCGTTCAGATGAATGGCATTTAAACTCTTAACATAAATATTCCCCTCTCACCCAGCAATGCTGATAACTTCAATCATACTTTTTAAATGATTTTAAACGGTTGTGAGTTTGCATGGTAGTATGGTGAGATCACTTTGAGTAAAGGTGAGGGTGGATGTGTCAGGGTGATGGGAAGTGATAATTTGCTGAGAAATTGAGAGGCAGTGTAAAAGAAAGCCGTGAGATTAGAGTCCTAGGCATAATTTTTTTATTAAAAAAAAGATCAAATGTATTTCTGACTCTAAATCATCAAAATAAGTGTGCCAAGTTACTTGGCAGCCGCAAACAGTCAGTCAGATTAATGAACTGTTGGGATAACGGACTACATTGCTTTTGGAAGAATTGTATTTCTCAATTATTATTATTAATGCACTTAATTTTTTATTGAACCTTGGTGTCTTTTATCATATTGCTGCCGTCATAATTTTATAAAAACAAATGAGAGGCTGTGGATTACAGATGCGGATTACATAATGGTAACCATAATGGTTATTGGCCAGGTGTAATTGTCCATACTCCTTTGCACCTATTTTTGCATTTAGATTACATTTGATTAATTTTAAAACCACTAATAGTTTAATGTATATAAATTATTAGTGTTTTTATAATAATAATAATTATAATATATATATATATATATATATATATATATATGTATATATATATATA